TTTTTTTTAACTACTTTCAACTATCTTTTTTTGTGTGTATTTGCGAGCCAGCTAAATCGCCACCCCGGACAGGTGGAGACCCGTCCGGCCATCCTTTCACGACCCTCAAAAAACCAACAACAAGAACATTTTCCACGCAGACCGCGACACCTGGAAACACATCCCCCAGCTGTGTGGACATCAGGACACGGGACAGCGGCTCCAATCCAGCCCCTAAAATCACTCACCATGGCTCCGGCTACGGCGTGAACCAGGCTTTCGTAAGAGAAGACGTCAGCCAAATTAAAATCTACCTCGACCCCCATTTCAGCAGGCTCCCCGAAATACAAATATTTAATTCTCAAGCACTTCCACTTTTGCTAACTTCACTACACCTTCCCGTCATGCTATCACACACAGGTCACCGCCCCTCCCCCTTCTCCGATAGATGCAGCTGAGAGCCTTTCCTGGAAGCCGATTGGCCGAGAGCGACGACGTCCTTTCAGTTTCATTGGCTGAGGAACGCGTCCGTCAAACAAAACGGCGTCCTACTTCCGTAATGTTTTTTTAAACAAAACTCGATTTAAAGTCGTACGAGTAGCTGTACCGCCTGTGAAACAGAGCAGATACTTAAGCATAAATAAAAATAAATAAATAATCTTTTTAAAAAAAAAAACAAAGCAGATATTTTTACAGTCTCATCCAAGACCGTTGCATGGAATATGCTTATTTATAACGTTGTAAATTGAATTCAGTCTCAATGCTTTGAGACACTTTGTTTTGACACGCTCATTGTGCTGATAATCCAATTTGCTCTGACATTTTTATCATTCGGTCCATGTTTTGTCAACAGCTGGAAGTCGGAAGTTTCTTATGGCATATTTAAAAAGCAAACTCCATCTTAAGAACACAAGAAAGGTTTCAAAGTCAGACAGCAGGAGCCAACCCAGTGGACTTCTTCAGTACCGAGAGCGAAACACGAACCAGAGGACACCCGTGTGAACGACTTGGAAGTGCTTTTACAACCGAGAACAAGAGGCGCTTCTTTAATAATAATAATAATAATAATTGGCGTCACTCTGCCTCCTCTCCGCCTGCCCTCCCCCCGAACCCCTTCCAGCGTCCGGGCGGACGCCAGTCCCCGCGGGCGGAGCGGCCCTGGGCGAGGGGGCGCTCGGACCTGCTCGTCCAGATTCCCGGAGCAGGGAGAAACAGCGCGCGGAATTCCGGCCGGGGGGACACCTGCGGCATCACCTTCCCCTCTCCCCGAATCCTTGAAGACGGGAGAGGAGCAGGGGTGTCCTTGGAGAGGGGTGCCCTTCACCCAGGGCATTCCGAATCGAGTCCCGGATTGCAACGCCATATGGGAAAATAAGGCCGACAGACGGAGTTTAAAAAGGCTTTATTTGAAACTTGGGAGTGGTGGAGCCACAGGTACAACACTCCCCCTTTTCCCAGTGACTGACTGACACACACGTGTAGCCCCCCCACTGTACCCCAAAATCAACACTGCGGTTAACCAGCTAACACTTCTTGATTTGATTGCTTCAGACTAATCAGTTACCTCAAAAAATCCCCCCCCCCCCCCCCGTACACCCATACCAAGAGTCTGATTAAACACCTTTTTAAGGAAAAATTCAACACAGAAAAGGCCTATGAACCACGATTCACAATGTTGTTACAATCTTTTCTCCGTGTCCACAATCCTCGAAGACAAAAAGACACAAAGTCATCCCAGCGGCCGTTTTCAGACCCAACAGTGAAACGGGAACCAGTGGAAACTACCTGGAAGTGCACTTAAAACCGAGAACAGGAGGCACTTCTTTACGCAAAGGGTTGTGGGGGAGTGGAACAATAACAAACAGTTACAGTTAACGTCTTTACATAAACAATGCACGGACATTTTCTCAAGGTCAGTATGATGTGATGAGTTGTAAAAATTGCAAAGAAAGGCAGCAGGTGGGGGTCATGCTAAAATCCTATCGAGGTTACCTGGCTCTGATCTCAGGGTTGAATTATTGCGAATTCCAGCGACAGGTCGGACGATACCTTGTTGTGCCGGGTCTGCTGGGGGCATTGGCCCTCACCCCCAGCCCAGGTCTTTCTGTGTGTCTGCAATCCAGAGGTCATATCGGAGTTCACTAGGAATAACAACACCCAGGTTCCCAAGTGTACCGAAAGGATAATGGAGCCTTATAGTCAAAATCTGGCTTAACCGTCTTGGCTGAGGGCTAATCTCCTGGCCATAAGACCCCCCTGCCTAGTGAGGAGTGACCAAGGGGCAGCTGCAGAGGGGGAGACGGGGCAACAGAGGTACAGTACGTGAGGGGAAGAGGGGATCAGGTACGGTATTATAATGGTTTAGGTAAGGAGATGACGTCAGCAGGGATTGTGAATGACCAGCAGCTGTGTCTGTTTGGACTTGGCTTTTGTCACTCCTCCCAGACTCCTTCAGTCCGTTCAGAGACGCCGCTGATGGTTCAGAATGAGAGCCAGGAGACCCTGGGGCTCTAGACCAGTGGTTTTTCCCCATGATCCCCACAGCACCAGTAAGAATTCAATTTGAACATGGCGGACAGAACAGATACATTCCAGGCTTGAGAGAACGTCCCCCCCCCGACAGGGTGAAGGAACTGAATCTCTTTAACCTTCAGCAGAACAGAACACAAGTGCACCTGATGCAAGTTTTCAAGTCCCTGTGAAAGGCCCAGCCCAGCAAGCTCCTTCAGAAAGAGCACTGAACCATGGAGCACAGGGCACAACTGTAGATCAGGGAGAAGTTAGACCCTAAAACAGGAGGCACAGGGCACTAGTGGAGCGGGCTGAGCAGCCTTGTTGTTGAAGCCAGAACCCTGGCTGTTTCTTTCGGGAAACAACTGGATGACATCCTCCAGTCAGGATAAGGGGTTCTTTACACAAAGGGTGGTGGGAGTCTGGAACAAGCTGGCCAATCATGATGCTGAGGTTGATCCCTGGGCTTCTTTCAGGAAACAGCTGGGTGAGACCCTCCAATCAGGACAGGAGGCGCTTCTTTACACAGAGAGTGGTGGGAGTGTGGAACAAGTTGCCCAGCCCAGCCCCTCAGGCCACTAGGAGGTGGTGTGTTACTCTAAGGGGGCAAAGTGTGGGGGCGCCCGCAGGGACACGCCTCTGACTCGGGGTGACCGCGGTGGGTGTTGGCGCTGATCACCACGAACAGCCCCTCCACGACCTCCGCCAGCGACCGGCACCCCGCGCTGCCCGCCCTCAGCGCCACGGCGGCCATCGCCGCGCCCACCGACACGGCC